CTATAAAAGTAAAGGCCTACAGTGGCCAAACTGCTGTTTGCCAAGCTGTCTTGCTTTCTAGCTGTCAATACTAAGTAGCTACCAGCAGATGACAGACTCCGTTCGAGCTCAAATAAACAAAAATTTCTCACCACTGCCCCTAAATATGTTATAGCACCAGTCAAAAATTTTGTTGTTTTCATAAGACCTATGTACAATGGTGTTTTAGGGCCACTGTTAATAAAAATTAAAATAGTAGACTTTGAAAATAAATTTGCAATATTTCGTGAAAAAGTTGTACTATTTCGAGAATGAAGTCGCAATATTTTGAGAAAAAAGTTGAAATATTTCAAGAAAAAAAGTCGCACTATGTCGAGAATAAAATCGTAATATTTCGAGAAAAAAGTAGTAATATTTCGAGAAAAAAGTCGAAATAAAGTGGGGACAAAGTGTGTGCAAAGTGGGCTAACTGTAGGGGGGCTGCCATAATGTGTTGGGGTCTCGGTTACTGTACTGGCGCGCCGTAGTTCCACACACTCCTGTCTCCTTGTGGATCGATCATTTTGATCATCATTCTCATTGTCCGTGAAACTTTATGCCCTCTTTGAATGGTGCGGAGATGTAGCCACTGATAGCCACGTAGACGATCCTGCATGCGATTCTCCTTCAACAAAACAGACCAGCAGTTTCCTCCGTGTCCGTCTGGTTCTTTATTACAAATAAACACAGTTTCTTGCACAGCCGTTTCAGCCGTTTCTTATACTAATAACAGGCTGGTGAGGAGGTGCTGCCTTCCCTTTGCAAAGTCTTTGGCCACAATATTGAGATCTTTTCTGGTATTAATGCCATTTTAATGTCGTAATTCTCCGACTTTTTTCTCGTAATAGTACTTTTTTTTCTCAAAATATTACGACTTTTTTCTCGAAATAGTAAAACTTTTTTTTTCGAAATAGTACAACTTTTTTTCTCGAAATATACTGTACGACTTTGTTCTCGAAATATTACGACTTTATTTTTTAAGTCTATTTTTAATTTTTTTAACAGTGGCCCTAAACCGCTGTCGTACCCTTGACTTGTCTCAGTAAAGACATTTTCTTTCTTTTTTGCTTTTTTACTGACGTGATTGCCTCAACCGAAAAAAAGAAAACTGACGGAAAATTTTTATCTTGTTGCAATGTAAACGTTTGTGAAAGTTAACCACTGTGGAAAATAATCACACAGGGAGAGCCAACAGTGTCCTAGTTAATCTGCTAACAGAGTTAAGGGCAAAAATCTGTTGATACTGATTAAAAATATCTGAGTCAGTTTTCATTCAGAATGGCAACTAGTGGGCCTGAAGAAAGAAGTTAAATAATTGCAATAAGCTCAAATAATCACAGCTGATTGTGTACCAACTGTGAAGGGCCTAAGCAAGTTAGGAGAGAAAACAATCAATTCAATTGTTCGATTTAAACAATTATCGTCTTAAACTATGAACTTAACCATATTCCTTGATTTTATTTACACCAGTGAACTTCAGATAACTGAGAAAGGGTTATTTCCCAGTGTAGATGATGACAGAGCTAATAGTATTGGAACTGCAGACAGCAAGTCACCCGAGCCTCTTTCCGAACCATTACTGACACACTGGTGTTCTCAGTCAAGCTTTACACTCCTTTTCAATTTCCACTACTCTTCTGCCTTTTTCACCTCCACCTTCCCCTGAGTAGGTCACAGAAGCCCTGGTCTATTAGTGTGGTAACCTCCCAGTCTTCTCCACAGACGACTCGCAACAACTACTCAGTGCAGTGTTAACAGACTTTACTGTCGCAAAGGGACCGTAGTTCGTACCAGAGAGAGAACACAGACTTCAGACAACAAGAGCCAAATGGCCTATTAAGCTGACTAGGTTTTTAATAGGGTCAAATATGTACATGTATATACTGTAGTTTTAATATACCCTTTGCATATTTCTATAGCGCAGAATGATAAAACATTATTAAACACAGTTTTTTTGTCAATTTCTGAATAACATTTCAATGTCATGTTGTGTGTATTTTTCACAGAGATATTTAACTGACAAAAATCCAACAGATGAATGAGTAACAAAAAATGTAAGGTTGCCCAAATGACAGTAATATCAGGCAATATCAACTTCATACCTGTACAGACTGTATGTCAAAATGTTTGCAGATACCTGCTCATCTTTCTTCTGAAATCAAGGGTATTAACAGGGAGTTTGTTCCTCCTTTGGTGCAATAAAAGCTGCAATTCTTATGGAAAGGCTTTACATTAGATGTTGGAAAATTGCTGTGATTATTTGATTGCATTCAGCCGCAAGAGCATTAGTGAGAACGGATGTTGGATGCTTAGTCACAAATGCCACTCCTACATACTAAAGGTAAAGGATGGAGCTCCATCACTGCAGAGAACACAGATCCACCTCTCCACAGGCCAGTGCTGGGGGTCCTCTATAGATGACATTGGGCATGGTGATCTTGGGCTCATGTGCAGCTGCTCTAGAGTGTGCCATTCTATTGGCAATGACATTAATTGGAGATTACATGAGCTGTATATGCTAGTGAACACCTGGGTAAGCATGCGTATGACAACATACAGCCAAAAGTAAAATGTGTTATTATGCATGATGTAAAATATAAAATGTGTTTTCTAAACTCGTCACCATCCAATGGTGAGGTGGATTTAACAAACCAAGACTGTCTGCCTGCAGCCAAAGCAAAGCCCCACTGTGTCTCTGCTGAAGTTTCAAAACTTATGGTTAGAATTATGCAGCACAAAGTTTCAGAGGACAATCACACTGCAATGCACATTCTACTAAAGGTCAAACCCTGATCATTTCTCATTATGCAAAAATCAGAGGTCAGTGGCCTCAGAACTGGAACATGTCACTGTGACCTGCCAAGGGTCAGCACAATCCACAACTGCTCTTTGACCACTCTCCCTGACACACTGACTGAGTAGCAGGGGGGGGTCAGAGTTTGGAACGCTCTACCTGCTAATGCTACCTTCACCCTATGAAGCAGAGACTAGTTAGCAATCTCTGGAAATCAAAACTCAATTATAAAGATTAGGTTATAGTCCAATTATTAACACTGTAATGCTGCCAAACCACAACAGCTCTGTACAATTTAAGTAACTCCAAAAAATCAGTGCTCTATCATATCTATCAATATATCTATCAAACTGCACAGTCATTTTTGTCTGCTACTGTCATGAGGTGTAAGTGCTAATGGAAGCTGAACGCTGAGGCCCTGATTAGCTATTTGATGGTAGTGTTAATAGCAGCCAGTATTGAATGGTGCTATTTTTAGCGAGTAGCCTTAGGCTCGAGACCATTAACATATGGTCTAATAGAGTCATGTGCTTTTAGATCAGCTTGGACAATCTCGCAGCTGGGACAACATACAAACACGCATGCAAGCACAGAGCCCATGCCCCACGGACCTGACTGTGTCAGTGATAAAGACTTAAAGGAATCTGCACTGATTCAATGAAAACTCATAGAAACATCCTCACCACATCGTTCAAGCCTGTAGTGCTTTGAGATCTGATCATTTAGGAGACTTTTCACAGACATATCACATCATATTTGCTTCAGTCACAAATGTCCAGAGAGGAAAAGCCATGTGCAAAGCAGACAATACAGACATTTCCTCGCTTTAAAATGAAAAGGCCAATAAGAACCCATTTTTGGACCTGATAAAGTTAAATATGCAACACATTGCGGTTACTGACTTCACTGTAATAAGAAATATAAGTTACAAGCAACAAGAATTATATTACCTGCATTACTCATATGTCTCTAAAGCTGGTTTTATACAGTGAAACTTTCATGCAACTAGCTGCAAGCTGTGATTTAATTTCAGTGCAACCTGACAGTTACTCAAAGCAATTAAAAAGCAAAGTTGACACATTTTATTTACTCCACTAGTTAGTCAAATTAGTAGCTCCTATGTTTGAAACACCATATCGTTCTCCCTAAAAACTTACCTACAAAGTGTAATTCACATAATTTTACATATTTTCAGCATGCAGCGTTCATCATCTTTATTCTTCATTGCAGTTTTTTCTACATTTGAGTTGTTTATCCGTTGTGTGTATGTTAAGCATTAGAAAATTAATGGTTAAGTAGCCGTTATGAATCTAGCCACAATAACAGCAGGCTAACAATAAATGAATAAATAAACAGCAGCACAAGTACACATTTAAACAGCTGTTAGTGTAATCCTGCCAGTAACCGCAGCTGGTTACAAAAATGTTAAAAAAAAAAAAAAATCTTTCTGACTAGTTTCTAGGTTTTCAAATTGCCACTCATAATTTAAATCAAGCATAACTGCAGTCATGGTCGTGTCTTGTTCAAAGCAGGGATAGTGACATGTCTTTTAAATTATATTTGATGTGGACTAAATAAATTATTCAGAGAATAACTCAGAGAATTATCTTATTACAGTCAGAGAGAAGTAAGAAGTAAATTGTAATGTTATATTTTTAGGTAACTACCAGAACTATGATCAGTAAATGAGGCTAACAGAAAATAAAACATTTCCCTTCAAGTGAACAGTGTCAAGTTGGTCTCCCTCCCAGAGTAAACGGAAAAACATTTTGTATTACTTATATTAAAATTCATATCAAAGTGAACATGCCCGTAGGTTGCATTTGTTTTTTCATTGTGCACTTCCTAAGTAGTCCAAGTGAATGGCACTAGACATAATCATTATATGAGGACTACATTACAACTATACTACAACAGCAATTCTACTTTCAACAATTTAACATTGTTACTATAGACCCTGGTAATTGTTATTTACTTTCTTCTGTTTTTTTATACCCACTGGTACAGAGCTGTACTCAATAGTCCTGGAGGGCTACAGTTTAGAGTTTAAGTTCTGCCTGTACTTTTTTAAAGCCAGATGATAACAGAGCATGAAAGATGCATAAAACTGGTAACTAGCAAGTATGGTAGTAAATGAAACCTAATTAAACACACTGCCAAGAAAATGGGAGATGGAGTCACTTCTCACCTGTGCATGTGCTCCACCCCAGTGAAGATCATGATGCCGTAAGTGAGTCCACTCTGAACCAGGAAGTGTAAGGAATACCTGCAATAAAACACAGGAGCAGGCCTACGTTACCACTGAGCTAGAACAGACATGCTTCTGCTTTCAGAGACATGGGAAGTAGGGGTGCTGAGGGGACTGTCAAAGTGCCCTGAAGCAGCCCAATTTTGTCTTAAAAACATAAACATAATTATCTCCCACTCCCCTCCATTCTGTCCAACACTGCAATAATTTCAATAGTAGCTTAACTATGCATATAACACAAGTGGGTTACTGGTTGTTTCTCAGCAATTTGATTGGTTGACGCATGGCTCTTCTGCAAGTTTGCCCAGCATGAAAGAGCAGAGACAGCAGGGTGTGCATCAGTTAAGGCTGCTGTGTTGGTTATGTGTATAGCTCTACCTTGTCTCTCTACAAACAATTAAAATAAAACCCGAAAAAAAACACATAGCATTTAGCATGATGTCATGGTGTTCATGTATACGCTGCTAAAGATTTCATCACTCCAACTCAAAACACGTTCCTGCATCCCAGTCTGGTTCTCATGGGAATGCCTCCAGGAGCCACTGCATTTGGCCTGCCAAATCAAATTATTCAATTATCATGAATGATATGAGCAGATCGAGCTTGCTCAATGCAGCTAGCAGGCATAGGGCGATGGTGGTTTTGGCTGGATAAAGATGGTTCCTGTAATAATAATTTTCCAATTATAAACAGGAAAACTCAGCCAACATATCAGATGATTAAACCATCTGAAGTACAAGACGCTTCTGGCAGTTATTCCAACAACTCCAGCAGGCCTTCTCACAGTCAAATGACATTACAGTATAACACAATACCATGTGTTTAAAAGTCAGTGCTTGTCCATGAAGGTCTTATAATGTACAGACAAGAGAGCTGAGACAAACAGACAATCAACACACTGATGACCTTTCCCTGGGCGTATGGTTACCCAACACGCCACGACACAGAGAGTGCCTCGTGTGATGCAAACAGCAGGAGGTCATGTTTCTTGATGGTTTTATAGCTGCTGTTGTATTGAAACTGAGGGAAATCACTTAAAAGCGCTTGATCATCTATGGCTCTTGTTATGCAAACAATTTGGCAGAAAAACAGGTACAACTGTTCAGTCCAGTCCTATTAGGTTAGGGCTAGAAACAGCAGTTTCACATGCTACAACAGCTTCCTGCTGGCATTTAAGACATTTGGCAGAAAGAAACTAGAGTGGGTCAAAAGTTCTGTTTAATAAAGAGTTACGTCAAGCTGGAAGTCACCATCAAGCACCATGCAGAAATAGGTGTTTTTGACTGGAATATTTTGCAATTTGCTACAAAATATAATAATAATAATACAATGTCTTTTTTAAACTATACTATTTTATGTAATAATAATAATAATAATAATACATTGTTAAATTCGTTCTGGACCCAAATGTCTGGACACTATGAAAATCAGGTTATGGGTGTAGTACATGTCCACAGCCTCTCAGTGTTGCAATGATTAATGGAAGAAGTGTTCTGCTAACACAGTTTGTAGTTTTGTTACATCAAAGATCCTGCATTGTCTTTCATTTATTTTGTTTATTTGGAGATCATCTAAGACCGATTTTCACGATTAATTCGGTTAATTGGAATTAACGTTTTCACACGATGTTGGAAATGTGACGTTTGTACATGTTTACATTGCTTGTACTTTAATTAAAATACCAACAAAACGGTTCAAATTTTCAAGCCGTACGAAAAACGCATCTTAAATAAAAAAACGCCGCCCCTCACAGGTCTGTGCGCTGACCTCCGCGCGCGCTAGAAAAAAAACACACAAACACTCCAAGATGGAGGAGGCGGCGCTTCGCAGGGGAGTGAGCTCGTACCAAAGAAAGGTGGAAACATCAGTTCAGGGGTTGGAACTGCTACCGATTTGAAAAGTCAGATGTTGAACAAATTCATGTAAAGTGTAAGTTGTGTCGAAACACAGCTGCAACCAAATCCAGCAGTACGGCGAGTCTCTTCCAGCACTTGCGACACAAACACCCAGTGGAACGGGAGCAATGAGTGAAACCACGCGAAACGGAATTCTCGAGGGTTGTGCGAAGCCGAAAGTGCCTTCGGACTTATAAGCTCGCATACTTTCCGCGGTTTCGTGTTGCCTGTCGCGGATGCTCCAGGTCGCTATGACATTTTATGATAAGTTTCATGACCGCTGGAAAACGATTCTTTCACTGTTCTAACTATGGCGACGTTTCAGTTCAGAATGCTGCCACCATTTCAGGTGGAACGGGAAAATTCGAATAAGAAGCTGGTGGACAGAAAGCCAACTTCAGCCTCGTCCTCTTGTAAAGGTGACCTGTATGTTTTGGTGCTCATTACTAGTTAGTATTGCCGAATAACAGACTTAGCATCTTACATTTAGGAGATATTCTTTGTTTATTTAACAAATGCGCGTTTCACAGTGAAACATCAGTGTGTCTGCCGCAGCTCCTCAAAGTTGTCCACCTTTGTGTAATGGCACACCTCTTTTTTACCGACCAATCAGAGGCTCTGTCGCGTAGCGTCTTCGTCCGCGGAGTTTGTACTTCAGCAGTCTTTTAAATTAAAGTGCAAAAAAGAAATTGTCTTTTTCCACTGGCATTATGCAAAAACCAAAACAAACAAAAAAAAAATCGGAATTGAGAATCGTTAATATTTTTGAAAATAATTGAGATTTTTGGCAATATCGACCAGCCCTAACTTGGCTGTCAGCCTTTCCTGTTCCCTGAGTCCAGCCAGAGTGGATGCCCCGGCAGATGACAAGTGGTCACAGCATAAGCATGCATAGGCATCTACATATGCCAACTTGGAGGTGGCTGTCCAATGGCAAACGACACAAGCAATGAACCACTTGAGTATCATATGACTCAGGTCTTGCTCTTGACCTGGTATCTCAACCTCTTCCAGCCCTGCCAGAAACACGGTTTGTGGGACACTTTAAAATTCTTCATCATATTTATTAGTTCACTTATACTATTGCAACTGCCAAGCTTCAACAGATTCTCACCCAGTCTCCCTACAAGTCAGTGATTTCTGGTCCACTGGACTAAATCACCTTCGCTGCTTGATACGAATGGATACCCAGCTTAAATCAAGCACCATTGCACACACCTGCCATCAGGGGTGGCATCTCCAGGATCTGGGAGACTGGACAGAGTATGGGTCAGAAGAGCAGTGCTAGGTATCTGGATGCCTCTCTCATCACAGACTTCAACTGACGCTGTCCGGTCTGGCCTGCTACTTGTCCCCCAAGGCCGACTAGAGCGACTAGTCAGGAGAGAGGTACTGTTATGGGAACATCTATTAGCGCTCAGCATCCAGTCTACTCATCACTGGTCCCCCTCCTACTCATCTAGTTATCAATAACCACACTGGACTACATAAGCACTGTGTTTTGAGTTCAATCTATGCAAGGTACTGCCAATTTCTGGTGTCTTTCCTAATCCTAATTCTGAGCCATACACTTCCAAGGGATTTGTCTAGTTTTGAACTCTGGACTGTTCTTTGAATTTTGCCTCTGATTGATTCACATCTGATTCACATGATTTGGCTGGCTTTTGAACAGGTTTTTGATTCCTGGACTGTGAACTTTCTTTAAAAGCTCAGTACTTGCAGCCAACTATCCCACTGTTAGAAAATGCAAATTCCCTGAATGTTTCATAATGTTAGTAATAACTTTTGAAAATAGATAAAAAACAGAAAAAGCTTTAGCTTAGCACACTCTAAATTTAGGTATAATGACAAAAACTGCCAAACTTCTGTAAAGCTCTACCAGCCATGCAAGAATAGCTACAAAAGAGCACATTTGTGGGTGGAGCAATAGATGAAGAATGCCCTCAGGTTGTGCCCACACATTCAACACCAAATAGCTTCTTTCAGTCACAGCGCAACTTGACAGTTTAACATTGACAAATAATTTCTTCTGTTGTCACCGTTCAGCTTTGTGGTCAGCTTACGATACTGTGACTGATTCAGCACTTGCTCAATGTTGAGATTTTCATTTGGTGAGTCATGGTAACTAAAGTGGACTGACGGATTGAACAAGTCTTCCCCTGCACAGTAACATCTCCCATGACACAGTTACACAAGACACAGAAAAGAGTACAGAGGTATGTGCGTCAGAGAGCACTTCTTGGCTTCTTGCCTCAAACAATTCCGGCCAGTCGAATCACACAGAGCAGTCTCTCCTGAGGGTCCGTACCTGCTCCTGTGCCTCTGGAGGACTGGGTAGCTCATTACTGGTCAAGTCAGCTATCTCAAAAGCCAGGAAACAGAGCGCCTTCAGGGACCTATTTCAAACTTCACCAGGCACTGATACTAGCATGAACACCCAAACCCTCTCCAGCCCAATACACCAAAAAGACTCCGAGGTCGTAATCTATTTCATAGATTGAGGTGCCTTGGAGACTAGCGGTTAGTGGACCGGGGCAAAACAAGGAACACTGAGCAAAATTTAAGGGATAAAAAGTTTTGCTTTAGTGGTTTTGTTTCCTTCTGACAGAATATTAGAATAGTTGCTCAAGTGGCAATAAGTCCTCAGTCAGTCAGTTACCACACCAAACTATCATCATAAAGCAATAAGACAAGTCTGAACTGTTCACCTTTGGTTAAACTCTGAACTGAAATGCGCTTAATATCAATAGCAATTTCTAACATCCTAGTTTCCCTTCTCTTCCACTATGCAATCTTGGACTAAACCAGATAACAGTAGGGAGTTGCAGATAAGAACTGATATGATCACTGTACACGTGTCAAATTGGCAAACAACTGGAACTGATCCTTGCTGGGCACATAGTTATCAGTTTGCTGGCAGGTATCAGACACACTGGCCATTATCCAGCATGAGAGCAGTGATACAGTTAGCATACACTGACAAATGTCAGACTGAACTGAATAAAAACACCACAAAATTATTTTTATTACCAGCAGTGTAGTTTCGATTTGTGAAGTAAAGATTTCTCCAAATGTATCAGAAAGACCTGAATATTTGCCTAACCTAACTTGCGGCCATTTAAGGGTTTCCATATGCATGCAATTTTCAGCATCTAAACAGTTTAAATGCTTTTCTGTATAGATAAAATGTGTGTGTGTGTGTGTGTGTGCGTGTGTGTGTTTGTGTGTGTGTGTGTGTGTGTGTTTAAAAGGTCATATGTACAAACCTCAGTTCGAAAACCACTTGGACAGTACTTGAAATGCAAACGCCAAAGAAAAAAGGACCATCCATGCTACCAGTGTAAGGCTCAAAAGTCAGGGTCAGTCATGGTATGGGTTATGTATGAGTGCCCACTGCTTGGGTAACTTGCACATCTTTGCAGTCACTATGAAAGCCCCTGTCAACATGGTGTAAAATGTTTGCTTTAACTGCAAAGATATGTTATGGAACAAGCGTTAATCAGTGTTATATGCAAGAAATATATACAAATTGAGCCAATATAACAGTAAATAGTGGATTATTGTGCATCACGCCAGTAAAGTACAATTGCGGGTGAAACACTTTGAGCCTTGATATTGGAGGGAGGCTCAATTTTTATATATTTCTTGCATATATATATATATATCTTGATATAGGTTGACCCGTAGCTATTACGTTCTCGTAAATTAAGTTAATCGCTTATAGTAGGATTTTGCATCAGGTGGCTAACGCAAGTAGGAAACAGCATCCAGCAACACTGCAAACAATGGTGTAATAAACCTTTATAATAAGCACTATTATCAAATTTAGAAAAGCCTAAATAAACTACATGCTCTGAGGTTTGTCTGGGACAAAACTCACTTACATGAGGGAGAGGAACACCAATATCTGACTTATACATATTGCTAACTCTGATTGGTACTTTGGCAGATCAGACATCACCTACACAAAATTTAGTCCCATCCAACTCAAATCGAACAGAAGAAAATGGCAGAAAAATGTAATTTCAAAAATCTCTCAAAAGAAAAAAACAAAGACCATCTTTTTTCATAGTTCACAGTAAAACATCACAAAAATGATAACAGTTTAATAATAGAAGAAAATTAGGGATGCATCAATACTATTTTTTGGCCTGACACCTGGTGCCAGCATCGGTATCGATGCATCCCTAAAAAATTATGCAAGTGAGCAGATGGGGGCTTTGAAAGATATATTCACATTTGGAGCTTCTAGATTATGTCTTTCTCAGATATGTCACGGCTTTCTTCAACGTGACAATGCCAAGCCACATTCCGCAGGTCCACAACAACAAAGAGTGCAGGTGCTAGACTGGCCTGCCTGCAGTTCAGAACAGTGTGATATCTAGCGGGTTTTTTTATTTGTTTAAAATTAGACTTTAAACTGAAGCTGACCCCTGCTTAACCCTGAACTCAAGATGTTATCAGAAGATGTTTTCAGTATGTGTCTCACCTTATCGCCCCTGACATTTTATGGCAGCTATTACATACACAAGCTGTCTTCCAGCAGAGGAGAATTTGAACTTGCCCTGACCTGTCAAACTGCTGATAATCAACTTTATTATACTCTGACCAAAGAGAAGTGTTAATCAAGAGAGGTCAAAGCCAAAACTACTATGGAGATCATAAAGAATGGAATGGAGATCAATAATATCAACAGGCCTCAAACTAGAGCTATAGCTTGGCCGATATAGGATTTTTAAAGATATATCAGCCAATATGTATATACATATATATCTCTTTTTTTTCAGAAATACACAACATAAAAATCATGTTATGAATGTTGCTTATTTAGGCTAAGAGGAGAAGTCACGGGGATGTTTTATTATTATTTAAGTCATGCATTTCCTGTGAAACATCAACTTACCACGAACACTGAGAATTTCTTTCTTGGAGTAAAGTTACTCTGTTTTTGTTGTGATTTGTGGCATTCCAAGCGTGTGTGTTGCCAACAGGGAATTGACAGAGCACCCCCCGTCTGCCTCTCTGTTTTTTAATTGTCATTTTTGGGTCGTTATAAATGCTGATACAGATTTATCTGCAACTAGCTCATATCGGCCGATAATATCAATACAGAGATTTATCGGTTGGGCTGTACCTCCAACACACAAACTTACACACTCACACTCACCAGCCAAAGCAGAAGAGGGCCAGGTAGAAGCCCAAGAGTGTGGCCACCACATGGCGGATAAAGGGACTGGTCTTGCTGGGGTGCAGATAGAGTCGGAACCAGCAGGCTGTGAGCAGGGCAAAAAGCTGGCACACCACAAAGTTCACCTGAGAGAAACAAAGACAAAATAAATAAATGGATAAAAGAAAAGAAAAATGTGTTTTTCTTGCCCCTGGTACTTCAAGATATGATTTTTTATATACACTAGATATTTCCCCACAGCAGCTACCTAAATATTTTGCTCTTCTGTACTACAATAAATGTGTCATCAGTTTGAAAAATCAGTCAAATCCAAACTAGGGATGGACCGATCAGTGTTTTTGGGGCCGATACTGATCGTCAATCGTCTTTCAGCACGATCAGCTAACAGCTGATATTGATCGAGGGCTGAGCTGGACTGTTAAGGTCTATTCATACCAAGTACGATTTTTTTTTTCAGGTGAAAAATATGGATGTAATTTTAATGTGGTGGGATCTTCACACCAATTCCGAAGTTTTTCAGTCTGAACACTTTTCTCTTTTAAGCACTGCAACTAAACGGTGTATACATTGGGTACATCCTATTCCACAAAAAAGATAACACAGGGAGTCCCACCGCCTCTTACAAGAGCTGTAGCTGCATAACGAGCGATGCTGCAGGTATTTCCGTGCGTCAGTGGGGGAGTTTGAGGCTCTGCTTCTATGTGTTGTTCCTCCCATTAAAAATGAGCAAAAAAACTAAGGTTACATACAGTCGCTGTAACGCACTCACCGTCATTCACTGCCTTTCATCTCTCATCTGCCATATATTGTCTTCAACCTCAGCATTTTTTTTGGCAGCATTTGCTTGTCATATAAGCTTTTGTGCTCCGCTACAAGAGTTCTGCCACCATCCTAATGCGTGTTTGTTTGGGCTGCAACCATGACAACAGAGCTCTGACTGGTTAGCTTGATTTTAACGTATCCGTACAGTACAGAAAATAGAGCAGGCTCTGATTTCACTCCGACTCGGTGTGAAAGATGGCATTGATATACATGTTCATTTTCAAAACTTGATGTGTGTTTCTTTTGTCCATAAAAATCAGAGTTGGTGTGAACAGGCCTTGAGAGCCTCACACAGGGCTGCAGCAATCCTTAAATATGATTTACATTTTACGTCACTGATCAGCTCTCGGGATCATTTAAGTTAAAGAAATACTGGCCGCTCAGCGATCACATACATATTTTTAAATCGCTTGATGCAGATTCATAGCCGATTGATTGTCAATCAATCGATCATACCATCTCTAATCCAAGAACTTGCCCTGTGCCGATATTTTTAAAGCAATTATCTGCTGATACCGATTTAATTCCGATATCATGGTGCGTCCCTAAAAATTACCACTATGAGTAGGGCTGTCACGATCAGGAAATTTTAGCTGATGATTGTCATGTAAAAAATTGCAGTTAACAATTTAATAGTTTTTTCTTGTTCAATAAACATGCATTCTGTCAACATACTTGATTATATACAATAAAAATAAACATTACTGAGCACTGCCCTCTAAACAAGTTAGAGCAGCAGATTCAATGTTTCATAAGCCCCATGATGTTTTTATGTATGCATGTACTGCTTTCTTTAATTTACATTTATTTGCCGTAACACGAAGCACCCAATTCACATTTAGCATGTTGCATTTTTTTAAATCTAACGACTGTAGAAAATGACTGCAGTCAGCTTAAATTATTTTAGTCACCTCAAAAAATGGTGATCATCTCAAAGAACTGTGATTAGGTAATAATTGTGCCAGCCCTAACTGTGAAGCCTGTAACATCATATTTTCTCATCGTTCAGTCAGATAATACCTGTTTTATGTGGTTTAATTTCATGTCACACTTGGGTTATGTGCACATATATGGTTTTGGAATGAAAGCCCTGATTGTCTTGTGTCTACGTCACATTTCTCCATGACTCACTCACACACCTTCATTCACACCCATCACAAGTGTTGCAAAAGCTGACAAAACCTCAGTGGCCGTTATCAGCGCTGAATGGCGGCTCACTGATATTCCCACTCACTGAGAATGCACCAAATCACAGTGCAGAAAGGCGTAGCCAAGCCAGTCATGATAAGAACCTAAGCACAGGCTCACACACCCATACCAGCTTAACTGTTTCTTTCAGTCCTTTGAGTCACTTCCTCTTTTTTTGCTGCTCAGTCCACACACTGCTAAACAAACAAGCAGTTTTTTATGTGACAGATAAAGAGCAAAGTTGATTTTCCGAGCTTGCATAATACTGACACTCTCTCACGAGACCTGGATACAGGTTACCAGTCACTTCTTTACAGTGGGAGTAATCTGAAACCATGGCAGCAGCATCAGAAACGCATTAAACATCAGACAAATTAGGAATGAGCTATGAAAATGTAAAAAAATGAAACAGCAAATTAAGGTTTTAATAAGCAAATTAACTTCCCTTCTACATAATATGTTCTCATATTTAAGAACCATGAGATGTCTCTATGCTCCACCAGAGGCGAGTGCATCTTATGTTCTGGTCAGAAATTCTAATCTATATAGTCCAAGGAAGGAAAGGAGCAAAAACTACTGCAGCTGTCTAAAAGATAAACATTAAGTTCAAGTTAATTTGACATTCAACTTGTATAGATTTAACGGAATAACATTTTCAACATAATTCTTTTTTACGCTTTCATAGCTCCTAATTTGTCTGATCTTTATGTTTGCATTTGACCACGGGGTAGTTTAATGCGTTTCTGATGCATTTGCTCAACAGAGACATAACCTTTCCCGCCTCAATTTATATTCAGTTTCCAGAACATTCTTCAATGTAAGTTGTTGCTGTTTAGAGTTTTACATACTGCTGGATACAGCAAAGAAAAGTGAAAACAGTGCAATGTAATTTGTATTAAAGCAATAAGCCGAGGCAAGCCTTGCATTACAGGGATGTTACACAGTTAAGGAGTGTTGTTAAGCATAATAATTGCAATACACAATTCTTTTTGTTTACAGCAGGCTGTGGTTTCTAAGCTATATTTTTTATGTGTCCAATTCGTTGGAAGTTACACTGGCTAACTGTTCTTCGTTTTCTTATTATTATTCCACAGTCGAAAACTTGCAACCCTACCCCTCCTACAGGCTCGAGCTAGAACCACTAAACCTTGCAGGACTGTAAAGCCAAAACACGAATATGTTGCTTGTGCTTTTGTAATTGAGTGGGTGTACGACTTTGGTACAGCGTTTGATCAGACAAAATAAATTGCCTATCCACCTGCTACACACAATGTCACAAAGGACAGCTCTCACACTGACTCTCACAGACATTACACACAAATACACTTACTTAGTATCACATATTAGCAACTGCTATGGATATCATAGCAATGACCTAGCAACAGCTTAGCAATCAACAATCCAGCAACACCTTAGCAACCACCTGGAGTAGCACAGCAACAACTAAGTCAGTAACTAGTGGTGGGCAATATGACAATATTTTATCATTATCATGATTAATTATGTCACAATACACTTTTCTGAGCATATTGTGGATATCGTCAGTTCTTAAAGAACACTGACTAACTACGTTTCATTATGAAGTGTGCATAATTAGGCCTGTTAAATTGGATTTAGTGCAGTGCAGTTTATAAAACCTTAAATAAAAATCATTGTAGTTGTAGGTTTATTAACACGATTATAGTATTTTTACCTGTAGTATGTACCACTACTGGTTCTATTTCATGTAATATCTAATGTCATGTTGCATATTGTATATTGTGAAAATGTCTTGAAGTATCGTGATATAATATTTTGCCATATCACCCACCCCTACCAGTAGCACCTTGCCACCTGGGATACAATACCAATGGCCTAGCAACACCATAGCAACGACCTGGGACACCACAGCGGAGGTCTAAAAACACCTTAGCAATCACTTGTGATAACATAGAAACAGCCTTGCAACACCGTAGCAAACAACAGGGGTACCACAACAATGGCCATAGTTTACAATCATTTTATATTTATTTATGTCTATACAAAATAGAATGAACTCAATCAGGCCTGATCAGAGAAAATTACATTTTCCTCAGTTTTTAAAAATTAAAGATGGTAAAAAACGTTTCAAAACATACTATTCACTCCATAGTCCATACAGTCCTAATATGGCAAAAACAGCTTGTTTTGAATTCATTGTTTGACGCATGTAATGTCACTAAAACCAAAACATTTACATGTAGCCTACAGCAGCCTATAGCCTATGTTAAAGTTGGTTTTAGAGCTGCTTTTATAATGAGGTACAATACAGAGCAGCCAGTCATAACAGAGGTCACTGACTTAAGCCAAACAACTGCTTTAAAGGAACAGAGATCAGAAAGTGGTTATTTAAAAATGTATTACCCCAGGAGAAAAAAACTCAAGGGAAAAAATAAATACAAATGTAAATGTAAGATTCGTCCCTTTAATGTATGCATACTGTGTAGTATTTTTCAAAACTTTACAAAAAAAAATCTTCATCTTGTAAAGTTACAATAATTATTTCTCTGTGACAAAGAGGTACATACTCAAGAACAGAACCTTATGTTTACTTATGCTTAAGTTTATGTTAATGTTTACTGATAAAGTCAGCAGTGTTGTGAGATTAATGGTGTCTGGCTTCAGATCTCTTCTGACACTTTGTGTTAGCTGCTAGTGCTCTGCAGAGAGTGATTTAGGCATGGTGGGCTGAGAGAGATGCCCTGTTCCATTACCTAATACAGAGCTTAGACCAAGCCCAAAGCTGCTTTTCCTCATCATGTAGATTGCAAGGGCAGGGTGGGCGCAGGTTTCTGATGGTTTGAGTAACAAAACCGAGACTTTATTCCTCCCTCCAGCTCTGGAACTGTGATTACAGGCTTTCTGTCTGTCTGACTCTGTGTTTGTGTGTGTCTATGTGTGAGTGAGAGCACATAACGTTCTTACAGCTCTAGTCAGACAGCTAGACAGTACTCTCTCAATTATTCTTGGTAATAAATGCAACTGAGAACTATCTAGGAACTTATCTGAACTGAACCTGGAGTTAGGCCTGATAAACAAAGGCCTGCTTCTTCCCAGAGGTGCGAAGGTTTGTAAAAGTGGTAAATGTTTCTGTTAT